ATTTCAAATTATCAATTATTCATTTTAATCGTTTTCATCCTTATTTACACTTTCAATTTCTCACACTAGAGAAACTATTCGGTATTCAACCTCTATTTTTATGTTGCATATTGGCTGCATACGATTCCTTCGGTGGGGCAGCTGGAGTAGGCACAGAATCCTTTTCTCTCTAGTTTTCTCAAGGCCGCCAGGAGAACCCACTGTGTGTACAGCCCAGCACATCTGAGCACAGTTTGCCCACAGACACTGTCGCTCGAGACCAAGGGAACACGGTCTCAGGTGAAGGTGCCCTGAGAGTCTGGAGTTCCAGCAGCCCAAGATCCTCCTTCCCCCGAGCCCGCCGCCTGCGCTGAACTCACACCTGCGTTCTAGGGCCCAGCAGACAGCCGGCGGGGGCGTCAGGGGGCGGGGCTTGCGTGGGGCGGAGCGGCGGGTGCGTCACCGGCGTGCGGCACGTGCCCGTGTTTACGTCCCTCGTGGAGCGCCGACGTCAGCGGGCTATGGCAACATTGTAGCGAGGCTGAGGCTCAGAGTGGAGTGGCGGTATCCGCGTATTAGGCAGCTCAACTTGGGAGGGCCTCAGGGCCAGTGCGCAGAGTACTGGCCCGCGCAGGCACTGGCCTTGTTCCGGGCGGGTTCGGCGGGAAGCGGGCGAAGTGAGAGGCCCCGCGGCGCGCGCATTGTCTCCGAGCCGCGCCACTTGGCGGAGTGGGGAGGGGGAGCGGCCAAGATGGCTGCGGGCGCCCGGCACGGCTGACGGGGCGGCGCGACACCATGGCCTTCGCTTTGGAGGAGACGCTCGAGGCCGACTGGGTGGCCGTACGGCCCCATGTGTTCGACGAACGCGAGAAGCACAAGTTCGTCTTTATCGTGGCCTGGAACGAGATTGAGGGCAAGTTCGCCATCACCTGCCACAACCGGACGGCGCAGCGGCAGCGCAGCGGCTCCCGGGAGCAGGCGGGGGCGTCAGGCCCGGCCCGGCCCGAGGCCTCGGCTCCCGCCACGCCGGTCGTCAGTCCGGGACCCCGCAGGAGCGCGGCCGGCGGAGGGGCGGGCCGCCCCGGGGACAGCCCGGCGCGCAGGGCCCCGGATCCTGGAGATGCCCGGCCGGCGGCCTCCGCGCGCGTGCTGAGCGCCTGCGGGGCGGCCGCCGAGGAGATCGAGGTACTTGACGCGGGCGCGGAGCCCGAGCCGCCGGGCGAGGAGTGCAGCTGGGCCGGGCTTTTCTCCTTCCAGGACCTTCGCGCCGTACACCAGCAGCTGTGCTCCGTGAACTCTCAGCTGGAACCCTGCCTGCCCGTGTTCCCCGAGGAGCCCTCCGGCATGTGGACCGTGCTGTTCGGGGGCGCCCCCGAGATGACGGAGCAGGAGGTGGATGCGCTGTGCTACCAGCTGCAGGTCTACCTGGGCCACGGCCTGGACACCTGCGGCTGGAAGATACTGTCCCAGGTACTCTTTACCGAGCCCGATGACCCGGAGGAGTACTACGAGAGCCTCAGCGAGCTGCGCCAGAAGGGCTACGAGGAGGTGCTGCAGCGGGCCCGGAAGCGCATCCAAGAGGTGAGGACCAGACCGGCGCCGGCACGGCTTCCGGTTCTTCTGCCTGCCGCAGTCTAAGCGCGGCAGAGGGCTGGGTTCCTGGTCGTGTCTCGGCTTTTCTCTTTTCAGTGGTTTTTTTACTTGCTCTATGAGAATAGGTTCTGTGCAGCAAGTACATTCTGTTTACTACTTAGCATTGGTAACGAGATTGCTCAAAAAAGGAAGAAAAAGAAAAGATATCCTGTAAACGTAGGCTAAATGAGCATTACTCTGTCCCTGAAGGTTTTTCCACAGTAACCGCTGAGATACCAACTCTTATTGCCTGGTGTCGCTTTTATTGACTCAAAATAGTTTGCCTTATGGAGCCAGGTTGATTGTGTTTATTTTCTTTATGCATTCTGGCAACGTGGGCACATTTAAAATTCTTGTTATTTAGTTTGGTTTTGGGGAATGGGTACTGCTGGAGGTGGAACCCAGAACAACGAGACTGCTGAGCAGGTGGTTTACTCCTGAGCTTCAGCTCTTAAATCCCTTTTTTGGAGGCAGGGTCTCTGTATAGTTCAGTGTGCACTTGAACTCACTTTGTTGTTGGTTTGTTTTTGGTTTTTGGTTTTTTTAAGCCAGGATTTCGCTCACTAGTTAAAACTGGCTATGTATCCCGGGGAGGCCTGGAACTCGTGGCGACCCTGTTGCCCAGCTGTGCTGGGATCACAGTTGTGAGCCACCAAACCTGGCTTTGAACTCACTTTGTACCCCAGGGTGGGTACAAACTTCCTGTCTCAGCCTCTGGAGTTCTGGGATAGTTGGCGAGCACCTCCACGCTCGGCCCTAAATTCATTTGTGTGTGTGGGGGGGTGCGGTACTGGGGATTGAACTCAGGACCTTGCTGCCTGCAGCCCCGGTGCCACTGAGCTAAATCCCCAGCCCCCTAAATTCATTTTTAAATGAGTGGTCTCTGCGAATGAAAAAGAAGGGACTCAAAATTGGATGCACATGTACTTTTAGGATATCTCAAGTCTGTGCATCCATTTCAGGTTTCAGTCCTTCAAGTTTTAAGGAGAAAAACGTCTAGGGCAGGAATGCGCATTTTACTTTTGTACTTGGTGTAAGAGTGAAAGGAGCATAAAAACTTTGTCTCTCTCTCTCTATATATACAAATATATTAAGTATATAAATATATATAAAATTTAATTTTTGAGACAGGTTCTCCTAGAGTTGCCCAGGCTTGCCTTGAGCTGGAGATCTTTCAGCAGTCTCCAGAGTAGATGGGATTACAGGTGTGTAATACCACACCTGGCTATACATAATACTTTTTTATGAGACAGGGTCTCACTATATAGTTCCACCTGGCTTGTTTTGGTTGTTCTCTTCTGTTCTTTTCCTTTTTTTTGGTACCAGGGATCGAACCTCAGAACCTTGTGCTTGTGAGGCAGGTGAGCACCAGCCCTAGGCTGGCTTTGAAAATCCTCTGGCCTCAGCCTCTCTAGTGCTGGGATTATAGGTGTGTACCACCACACCTAGCAATACCAAAATACTTATATATCTTCTGTTATCCATATTTTGGTTTACAGTACTTTATCCTAAATGTTACCCATCATAAAGTGATCCTAGAGTTCCAGGGATCTCTTTTAACCCCGCCCCCTTTTTACAGTAGGGATTGAACCCAGGGCTTTCATACTCATCATCGACACCCCAACCGTTTTTAATTTTTGAGACAGTCACGCCAAGTTGCAAAATTGCCCAGGCTGGCTTGAATTTGCCATCCTTCTGCCTCAGCCTTCCAGAGTGTTGGGATTACAGGCATACACCATCATTTATTTCCTTCTGGAGTCTTTCTGAAATTCTTTTTGGAAGAATGTGACAGAATTCACAGGTATTCCTTATAGTGTTTTGTGAAAATTGACTGTTCTTTCCTTTGTTTATATATATATATATGTGTGTGTGTGTATATATATATGTATATATATATGTGTGTATATATATGTGTGTATATATATATATATGTGTATATATATATATATTTTTTTTGTACGGGAATCGAACTCATGACCTTGCACTTTAGAGGCAGGCAGTGGAACCACTGAGCTAAATCCCTGGCCCTCCTTTGTTTATATTTTTGAGCCAAGGTCTCACCGTGTAGGTTGACCTTGAACTCCCAGTCCTGCCTCTGCTTCCAGAGTGCTGGGATTACAAGCATTCACCACCATGCCTGGTTACTGTGCAGTATTTTAAACTGCAGGAACAAAATTAGTGATTCTTTAACTTAATACAGATTACATATATGGAAACTAGCTTTTTACACAGTAGCAATATTTTCATCTGTTAATGAGTAGAACTTTTATTTTTTTAACTTTAGTGATACCCAGAAAAAGTGACTGTCTCTGGTATTTCAATTCAAATGGGGCAAAAGCGGGGGAAAAAAGTGAGATACTGGTTCAATCCCCATTATCACAAACATAACAAAACTGCCAAAAAATAGAGCTTGCTAATGAAGGAGATATGTTTTGTGTGTGTGTGTGTGTGTGTGTGTGTGTGTGTGTGTGCGCGCGCGCTAGGGACTGAACCCAGGGTCTTGCATGTGCTAGGTAAGTACCGCACCACGGAGGTACATTCTCAGCCCATTTTTAAATTTTGAGACAGAGTCTCATTAAATTGCCCATGCTGGCCTGAAGCTTGTGATCCTCTTGCCTCAGCCTGCAGAGTAGCTAGGATTATGTAGAGGTGTGCACCACCACACGTAGCGGGAGGGGGAGTTTACAGTTTTTATTTATTTATTTATTTTTGTGCTGGGGATCAAACTCGGTCCTTGCACCTTGCGCAGCAGGTGGCAAAACCACCTGAACTAAATCCCCAGCCGGAGTTTACAGTTTTTGAAACAATAACCTTTCCTAATTAAAGTTCTTTTGATCATATTCGATATTCTTTGAGAGAAAAAAGTTAAATTTTAAATTGTATTTTGTATTTAGGAAACAACTCAATGTTTACTATAAATGTGTTAAACAATAAATGTATATTTTTTTGTCTTTTATTATAATTGACTTGAATATTTGAAAAACAGTCATCAAAGACATCAGATAAGTTTGCTTATAATCCCTGTCCTGTTTAGTGGTAGTGGGGATTGAACCCAGTGTCTTCCCACTGAGCGACTGGGTCTCTAGTTCAGGCTTGCCTCTGTGGAGCCCAGGCTGGCCTTGAATTTACTATGAGCCTATCTTCCTGCCTACCCTTGTTTGTACTGTATTGGGAGACGATATGAGAAGTTGAGAGACTGTGGAAAGTGTGATGTGATGAGGAATGGTGTCCTCTATGGGCAGGCAAGAAGATGGACACACATAGGGAACCACCATGTATTTGTGTTCTCTAGCTCCATACATTTTTTGTTGTCTCAGTAGTTTCCAGTAACTGTTTTTGCAGGGCTGGGGATGGAACTGGGGTCCTTGGATGTTGCTGCCATTAGGAGTTTGAACAGAGTGCTGAGTTACACCCCCAGATCCTCCCTCCTTTTAAAAATTTTATTTTGAAACAGGATCTTTCTTTTTGAGACAAGGTCTCACTATGTAGTTCAGGCTGGCTTTGAACTTCTGGTGATCCTCTTGACTCAGCCTCCCAAGCTCTGGGATCACAGGCATGCACCACCATGCCCAGCTGAAAGGTCTTGGAGTATCAGGATAGGTTTGAATTTGAGATCCTTGTGCCTCATACAACAGCTTGTCAATCTAGATATATCTGGTAATCAAAGACATTTTAACAGATAATATTAGAAAATTTAGCTGGGCGTGGTGGCACATGGCTGTAATCCCAGCACTAGGGAGCCTGAGGCAGGAGGATCTCAGTGAGTTTGAGGACAGCCTGGGCTACATAGTGAGACCCTGTCTCAAAGAAAAGAAAAATTTAGTCCTGTGATCATTTTTAAAAAAAATTTCTGTGGTTCTATTTTTTAGTCTTTTGTTCTATAGGATTCCTTTATCTATGGAATTCAGACCTATGGGGGTTGGGTTTTTTTTTTTTCCCCAAAAGTGGTCAATAATTGTTGAAAGAATTAAAAAATAAAACTGACTGTACAACTAGATTGTTAAGGTCATTGGCCTTGACAGTATCTTGGAATTCTCTTTATCACTCCTAGTTCAGAACCACACATTTTACAAGCTCTCTTTAATATTAGTATATATAAAGAACACCAGAGGTTTTTTGTTTTGTTTTTCTACAACAAGAGTTTAAAGGGTATGGAAGATGTTTTATTTATTTTTGTAGTGCTGGGGATTGAACCCAGGGCCTCATATTTACTCAGCCAAGTGCTTTACCACTGAACTACATTCCCAGCCCAAGATGTATACTTTTAAGGTATAGTTGTTCTTAAATACAGTTTTTACAAATTGATAAATGTAAATTCTTCAAGGGAATCCTGCTTTAAAAAGTAGGAGAAAATCTCCTGTAATTGTTACTAACTTTATTTATTTATTTTTTGCGACAAGGTCTCACTATGTAGTCCAGGCTGGCCTTGGACGAACTCGAAGCAGTCCTTCTGCCTAGCCTCCCAAGTGCTGGGATTACAGGCATGCTACACCACACCTGGCCAATAACTTTAAATTAAAGTGGCCTTTTTCAGGGTGGTGAGTTCCTTGTAAGAAAGGCTATGGTTGGGTTTTCATGGGGTTCCTTAAGTAGCATGCAAAGTTTTATATGTGGGCATATTTAGAGAAAAAGGCTTTCATCAAGCTTTTAAAGATGTTTCTCAAAAAAGAGTTTTAAGGCCGGGGATTTAGCTCAGTGGTTCCGCTGCCTGCCTCACAAGTGCAAAGACCTGACTTCGATCCCCGATACCAAAAAAAAAAAGTTTTAAAATTGCCATTGTGAATTATCTTTGTGAGGTTATAGGACCTCTGTTAGTGTTTAATTTTTGTAATATACTTAAGATTTAATGTGAAATCATAAAATTACTCCCATATTTTTTTCTTCTTAAAGTTTGTGTTAATACTTCACTGTCCGGGCATGGTAGTACATGGCACATGCCTATAATTCCA